ATCATCTATGAATGCATGATAGATCTCAAATTAATTATGCCGGTTACAAATCAACAGTATAGAATCTTAAAGGCAAACGCACACACGAATAATTTTTATATGGTTACGTCAGAACCGCGTAACAGTGTCAGTGGCGGCGGTTGCTCTAGGCAAGACAGTTTTAGGTCACTGTAGTAATTTTCGGGCAAAATTGGCAGCTATACATACAATAAGCTGTCAACTGTCTGAACTTAAACGTTCTCTCAGTAAATTGCAGCCATATCATTTTAGAAAGCCAGCTCTTAATAAGAGCCCAGGAATCTGTAGTAATAAAACCGGAAACAGTTTGGAATCGCCGCGGAACACTCACCATGATGGCTAGGCAGTTCCCTCTGAACCTAATACGGTTGAGAGAGCACAGTATATGCTCGGTAATCAGATAAATCAGCAAGCTTGTAGCTTGAGAAAGAGTCTGGCATATCACTATCTGCTTGTGAGTTCACTATATAGGAGAGTTATATATCAGTTTATAAACTGAACTGAAAGCTTTATAAAGCTCCATTGCAAGCGCTATAAGTGTATGGGTTACTATCTGAAGACGAAGTTTAAGTAAATCTTATTGTTTTTTACGTCAAGAAATATAATATTTGTATGTCGATATATAGGGTGCGGCGCTCGAAGTGTAACCAATTAAAAAGTCCATAAATTCTGTTTGGAAAATCACTTTTAATCAATTCAAAGTACAAAATGTGTGAAAATAATACAAAATTCGGCAACAATTTACTTTTTGCATCATCTCTCCAACAAGGCAGATTTGAGAGAGCTTCGGGATAGGACAACATAAGTTGCTTAGCCGAAAGTAATCAATTTCCGAACATTCTGCTTTCTGAAATTTTAGAATTGAGCAATACGTATTTTCTCAAAACGATTGGATTTACTTGACCTACCTTTCATACAAGAATTTGATTCTCCGGTTGGCTACTGGGAGGCAGCACCCGCCACAGATACTGGTTTGGGCCGCTGTAACTGCAGATGGGCGACCTCCAATCGTTTTCATTGATCCAAGCATCTAGGTAAATGCGCAATATTTTCGGAAAAATATTGTGGAGATTGCTTTGAAGACATGAAAAAAACAAACATTTTGGTGGTACACCATGGATGTTTTAACAGGACTCGGCACCGTCTCATACAGCTCGAGAGATTCAAGAACGGCTGAAAAACAAGGTTCTGAACTTCATAACGTCCACACAACGGCATTTAAATTCACCAGATGGATTATTCTTTTTGGACCATTTTGGAGAGCAAAGTCCGAACTAAAAGATACACCAGTCTGTAGTCCACGAGTGTACCTAAACACATGTAAGTCACATTCGGCACATGTAAGTCACGATTCGATTTGGAACCGTTTCAAGGCCGTAGTCAGGGCCAAAAAGTGGTCAAATCGCGCAAAAATAAATTGGTGCCGAATTTTGTATAGTTTTCACATATTTTGTACGTTGAACTGATTAAAATTAATTTTCCAAACTGAATTTTTGGCCTTTTTAATTGGTTACACCTCGAGCGCCGCACCCTGTATATCGACATACAAATATCTTATAGTTATAGTGTTTTCCTTGTCCTAAGAGACATTAAGATTGACTTCAACTTGAACTTCAGACGGTAACCCATGCACTTGTAGCCCTTTCAATTGAACATTATAAAGCTTTCAGAGTTTACAAACTGGAACCCATGAGTATACATACGTATTTGTTTCTTATCTAAGTTAATTCATTCTTTATAACTGCCTTTGTAGGTGTCGATTTTTGTAGACAGGGAAATCATGTGAGAAATCGGCGAGAAAATAGATTGTGCTATTACTGGGTTCAAAGTCGAGATGAGCTTGTTTTCTTTGATAGAACTCTTGAAATTACACTTCACAATGATAGATCGACGAATTAGTTTTCGAGAACCATTTGAATCGAATTTGATTTTATGCGATAATATCCTCCTTTTCATGTTCTTTGGGCAAGTGAAAATTAACAATTATCTCAAAAATCGTAACAGTAAATTGTCAGCTTGTCAAATGGGGTTTAAAAAATACATTTCAGGGTCGCTCAGATATGTCAGCGCGTAAAAAACGTTGAAGATTTCTCTATTTGCGCGCAGCTGATTTTTGTTGGCTGTGAAAAGCCATGTAAAGAGCATGAAAAGGTAGGTTAAGTATTTCAGGCAATTTTTTTTTATTAATTTTCAAGCTGAAATGCAAGATAAATTCAAGCAAACTTAAATTAAAAATGAAAAAATTAAAAAAAAGGATATTAATTTCCTTGAAAAAAAGGAAAAATTTGTTACACAGTGCGATTTGATGTTTGCTTTGTCGAAAACTTTAAATATATATGTCTTTATACTATGTATAGTTGATTTAATTTATAATTTTTTTTCAAAATACATCTAAATAATTATAGTTTGGTTTACCTAATATAGATTTATACATATTTATACATATTTTTTTTTTATAAAAATTGAAGATCATTTTAAAATAATTTTTTTTTCTTAATTTACAAAAAGAACTATCAAAATGAAATCGATGATGTAATATGTATATAATATATATATATATATGTATAATATGTTTATATATAATATGTATATAGATAGTTTTCTTTTTAGTGTATTACATATGTATGTATGTGTATATGTATACATTTAAACATTAGCTATAGCATTTAGCGCATAATTAAAAATTTTTATGCTTTTATTTTCAAAAATGTAAACTGAATGTGTTCTTTTTTTTATTACATATTTATGTATATACATAAGTATGTAAGTAGCCTAAGATTTAAATTCTTAGAGCATCTCAACTACACAAAGACACAAGTACACAAGTACTCGCACATGAGTTTAAAGTTATAAATTTATATCTGTATGCATAGTATAGGTATATATATTTAGTATAATTATATATAACTACTATTTATGTATATATAAGTATATATGTATATGTATATTACATGCTAAATAGCAATAATTAATATCACTGTGGTAATTTTAACAGGCGAGCCATACGACTCTGATATGTATCGTTACCTTGGTTGTGTCTTATGTTTAAGAATTGTTGTTATCTGACATACATACACCGACTATACTCGTATACCATGATTTTATCAACAGCACGCGCCAACTTTTTGAATTTGATATGTAAGCGTGTGTGTGTGTGCTGTAAACCGGCATAATGTCGGTGTCCACTGTCGTCAAACCTAAACTAAACACTTAATTGAACTGAGGATTATTTCTTTTATTATATTTTATTACTTTTTTTTTTGTTACTTTTTATGCTAAAAAGACTAACCGCCGATTCGTTGCTGCAGCAACATAGCACATATTGACACCCGAAATGGTTTTGGGCAACTTTTTTGATATGTAAGCGATATTGATGTCATGTGCTTGTTGTTGCCAGCGTAAGCAGCGAATCGAAAATTTGTCCAACTTATGTGCTAATTTTCATTACTCGTAACCTCCGACCTTCAATTTTCCATCTACTCTATATTCATATGTATGTAAGTACAATATATATATATGTACTTATACGAGTATAATGAGACTATTTTTGTAATCTTTGGTTTAACTAGCTTCATTTGTGTATATATTTACGTTTCCATATATAATTTACAAAAGCAAAAAAAGCACTTTTGCTATCAGCACATTTTTCAGAAAAAAATACAAAAAAAAGAATTAAAAATATGTTTGTTTTTACATAAATTATTTGTGTCTTCATCTCCAGTTGTCGTAAATATTTTTAGTAAAAATTAAATGAATTTCTTCGAATTTTAGTCACTTTTTAACAGTACGCAGTCGTAATGTTTTTTCAGCGAGTACATTTTATATTAATTATTTATTTACTTGCCAAAACTTGTTTCAAAATTGTATTGGTTTATAGCCAATTTAGCCAAAAAACATAGCGATTCAGCTGTCACAATCAGTCTTATGAGAACGCGAAGTAAATGAAAAATTTACCACCGCTTGCCGTTCCCGTTATTGACGTTTGTCTCGTAAAAACCAACGGTGGTTTAATGATTTTTTCCGTAAAACCGACTCAGCTGATTGCTCGCTGTTTTATAAGGTTACCAGCATTGACTTTTATTAACGAATTTTAAATGTAATTCTTTCCAAATAAATGAAAACAGAATTCGTAATTAAATATTTATTACCGTATATGTATGTAGATCATATAATGTATATATAATATATTTGATAAACGTTTATATTCGAACATATAAATTATTAAATTTTTCATTAAAAATTTAAATTTGTTTAGAAGCAAGCAAACATTCTGGCAGCTGGCAACGCTTCGCCCCTGCAAGCAACGTCGATAACTTTTGCCTGTTGGTTGGTTGGAAGGTATGTAAAATATCTAGTTTGGCTATCAGTCGGCAGGCTCAACCAGGCATATTCTGCATTTCATTTTCTGATAAAATTAGATTGAAAATACTTCACTTTGACATTGCGTCATGTGGCAATTTCAGACGATGCGTCGCATGAGCTGATTCGGTATGTTTGCTGGCTAGTCGAACTAACGAATTTTGTTAGACTATTTTCGAATAGCACGGCAATCGACCAAATTGTTTGAAAAAAAAAAAATACTCAAAAGTATATTTCTAATAAATAACTAATTTTGTAATTAAAATTGCGTTTATGTAAAATTGGTAATAAATAATGTGTGGAAAATCACTTTTTTTATATATTTGTTTTATAACTCAGTTTACTTATGTTAATAAAAATCTTAAATAACGAGAAAGCAGAACATTGTAGTTCAAAAAACTTTCCAAACTAATACTTTTTGAAAAAAAAAAAATTAAAAATTTTTTTATGTCATTTAAATTCTATATTGATAGTAATTAATAAATAATGTAAATCTTGTTCTCTGCTGGAAAATATGTCTTTCTTTTTTCATTCTATTATTTTGTTAAATAAAAATTAAAACTTTTTTAAATAGTTTTTTAAACATAATTTTTTCCACTTTTGTTAGATGATTTATGAAATATTTCATACATTAAACACTAAACAATTTATAAAAAAATAAATAATTTATATCAAGAATTTGTGCTTCAAAATATTCGTTTTGTATATTAGTAAGTATGCAGCAAAGCTTTATGTACAACAACTCTCCACTTTATACTTTATACATTAGCTTTTTTCCTGTTTTACTTATACGTAGTTTTATATGTGTTTGTATTGCTGGCTTACATCGCTTTGTATTAATACAGTTTATGCCTATGTTAATTATGAATAGAATTTTTCTCAGTGTATAATACAATACAAAAGTTAAGTTGTTTGTAGTGCACTTTTCTTTTAACTATTTTTGAAATTTAGTTATCTAATCTTCTGTTTTTTTTTATATATGTATATGCTTGCTTCGCTATACATATACGCATAGACATTTTGAAATGTATGTAGTACGCTTGTGTGTGTATTTTGTTTCTGCTTTTACTGCTTATAGAGTACACTCCACATAAATATTCTATACTCAGTTCGCAATATGTCTATGTATGTATATATATTTTTTTTCAATTTCACTAAACGCCTTTTTCCATCTTTACTTTAATGTATGTTTTGTATGTATCAGTTTTTATATTTTATTAATACCTATTAGCCACAACAACAAAGTACACAATATATCTAGTATTTTCTTTTTTAGCTAGGATATATAATCAACGAAATACATAAACAATGCAATCAAAGATATAAAAACAAACATAGATTACCGCTAGTTTTGCGTAAGACAACATCTTAAAATCCTTGTCTGAATGGATTCGCTGGACCAGCTGGTGCTCCTCTACTCCCGCCAACGCCTTCATTCATTTGCTGTTGCTGCTGTTGTTGTTGCTGTTGCTGTTGCTGCTGCTGAAATGGATTTGCGACGCGTTGTTGTGGAAGATGTCGCGTTTCCTGTTGATAATTACCACCCTGCTCCTGATAGCCCGGCTGATATTGTTGCTGTTGTTGCTGCTGTTGTTGTTGCTGATAACCCTGATTTTGCTGATAACCAACACCGCCGCCAGCTTGCTGATAACCACCCTGTTGTTGGTAATCATAATTTGTATCGTCCACATTGGACTCCTGCTCCTGCTGATATTGTTGACCATATTCGAGATGATTTTTGAAATCACCATCAACTGGCTTTTGATCATGCATCACATACGTCTGATACTCTTTGTTCGGTGGATCTTGCATTAGTATGTTGGCTTCATTCTCGAATGGCTTGAAATCGTAAATGTTACGTAGCTTGCGCAACATGGGCACGTAGAGTAGATTGGAGAAGGCAATAATGAAATTGAGCGCCGTGAAACCGATCGCTTCTACCACACCGCCAGCAATAATCGGACCGACAGCATAGGCGATCGAATACGAGATATCGGCAATGGCGTAAATACTACCGTACACAGATACATAACGCACATCCACTAAGTAGCCGAGCGTGGGTAGAAGGGCAGTATCGATGAGTGCAATACCAAAGCAGATAATACAAATCGGTATCATAAGTACTTTGTACGAGCTGGAGAAGGGTATGATGAAGCAGGAGAAACCCTCAAGCGCCAGGCCAACAGCGGCCATAAGCCATTGATGGTGTGGATATTTTCTCGCCATTTTCACAGTGATAACAACGCCGAGCACGTGCGGAAAGAAGGCTGGCAGCCACACCATGCCGATTTTCCAATTGTCCGTTGTTAGATTATCCTCCATCCACAGCGAAATGGTGGGCTCGAGAAAAGCTAATGCCACATTCGACATAGTCAGCGCACCGGCGCAGACTGCAATGTATGGATCCATAAGCAAACGCCAAATTGGTATCGATTGCTGTTGCACCTCTTTACTTTGTCTTATTTGATCTTTGACCGGTTTCATAACGAGCAACAACATTAGACCGTCCAAGAGACAGACGAGCGCTAAAATGAGAAACGGCACCTCTTTGCCTGCAAATTGATACAGTGCACCGCCGAAAGGTGGCGCCACCAAACAACCGAAACTGATGAAAGCTAACGCAATACCCAATGCCTGCGAACGTTCATTTTCCTCCGTAAAACGATCGGCTATCATAGCCAAACCCGATGTATCTGCGAAAGCTGAACCCGCACCTTGTAGCGAACGTGCAAAAAAGAGCAGACTATAACTGCGGCCGCAGGCGAACATCGCTGTTGAGAAGAACATTATGGTTAGACCAATCATCATGGGCAAATCATAGCCAATACGATCGATTAGGCCGCCAGAGAAGGGATTCACCATTAGCTGTACGATCGCCTTCGAAGCGAACAAAATGCCGGTCGCCGAGTCTTGACCATGATGATCATGATGTACGGGTATTATTTGACCTGTGCGATTATCACGCAGCAGCGGTGCCAAATCCTCATCGAAACCACCGATTTCACGTAAATAATCTGGTATAATCGGCACGATAACCATATACAACATGTTGTCCAAGAGCAGCGCGATTGAAACGATAACCAAGATGAGACGACGCTGATTGACGGGCTCTTGGATTTTCTCCCAAACAATCTCTTTGACTTCGCGCAACTCGAGATTGATTAGCGGTATTTGAAAGGAGCCAGCCATTTTGGTTGTTACGGAGGGACTTCTTGGAAAGATGGATGTGAAAGTTGTGAAATTTTTTCTATATGTTGTTGTTGTTGTTGTTCTTTTTGTTACTTTGTACTTGTTTGGTGTAGCTTGTGGTGTTTCACTTGAATGTTACTTACAACTGTTATACGCTTTTACTATCCCTTTTTAAATCCAAGTACTTTGTTGTTGCTGCTGTTGTTGTAGTTGTTTTATAATTTGTAGTCCAAACGTTTCCAGTTACTTTTGCAACTTTTAAGCACATTTTTTTTGCATTTCAATTTATTTGTTGTTTGATGTTGCTATTCGTTTTGTTGTTTTTGTTGTGATATAGTTTGCGAGTTTTTCGTCAATTTACTCTTCAGCTGAAAGTTTTCTCCAAAATTTCTTCACACCAAACTACTGTCTGCACCTCCACTCATTTTCTCTTCTCGTTGTGTTGCTAAGGAATTTCGCGTTGATCCTTTTTGTTTTAGTTGTTGTCTTCAACAGGCACATTGTGTTGGTGTATGTGTGTGTGTTTGCTTACGTTTTTACTTTGTTTTTCCGTTGCTCAAACTAAACTTTTTCTCCCCTGGCGGCGGTGGTTTACTCTGCCTGTGCGTGCCTTGCGGTCTCACTCTCCCCTCTTCTCTCTTGTCTCTTCTCTCTTGTCTTTTCTGTCCTCACTCCGCACTTTTTGCTTTTACGCTTTGCTTGCTTCTCGGGTGAGTTTGTGGTGTGGATTTTGCTTTACATTTCACTCGATTCGTTGGCAACCGTCTGGACAACCTTTAACGACACAGAAACAAGATTTCCATTAGTTTTCAATGTCAAGTACATTTTCATTTGCTTGCATTTCAGCTCAAAGTTTTATTTGGCTTTTCGCAATTAATTTACATTTTTTTTTCATTCACTGAGGTTTTACTCAATTTGAAAGCATATAATTTCACTCGAATTTCGTATTTTCGCTTATTTTCGCTTAAAACTTTTTCATTCGAAAAAAATTTCGTAAAAAGTTTCTGCTCTCGCAAGCGGCGTCTAGCAAGGAATATTTTTATGATTGAAATGTTGTTTCTGTGAAGTGAAAGGACGTCCATTTTTTTTTTGTCAAATTTTAATTCGTTTTATTTCTGTATCCATTTGCAATTAAATTAATTTATTTTGTTTGATTTACTTTGATTTTATTCAAATGTGAAAGCGGGGAAAAAACGTTGCCTACAATTCGTTTAATTACATAATTGACTTTGGGGCGCTCTACAAAATTGCGAACAATTTTAATTACACATAAGTGCTGCTGGAAATGTGGCATGTTGAATGGTACATAATTGGTACAACAACAGCAACTGTAAAATTTTATTAACACTCTTTTTGCAGTATTTGCAAAATGTTTACATTCTTCATTCCACTGTTGACACACATTTCAATCATAAAAAGGAATACCAAACTACTAGTGCGATATGGTTTGAATAGGCTGACGAAATGGTTTGAAATGGCTTTAGACGAGTACACATACAACATATGTACATAAGAGTATGTAAATAAGTAAGTAAAACGAGGCGTGAGATATGGTGTTAAGCAGGATTTGAAACTATACTATAATTACAAACCGATGTCATTGCTCAAACCAGTAGGATTTATTAAAAAGATCAGCAGATTTTTTGATAGATATGAATATTATGTATTCAAAGTGCTATAACTAAATTTAGAGTATATTTCATTTTCACCTAGAATATTTATAAGGTGTGTTCAAAAAATATCGCGAATTCGAATTTTCGCGTGTTACGTATAATCGAATTTCGATTTTTTTGTGGCGTTATGTTGGTACTCATGTCTGTCATTTATGCCGACAAGCTCGGCCATTTTGAATGTTCATTTAATTGCTGACAGCTGCTTTGCTTGCACGTGTTTTGGATGGTCTTCGATTTTTACCTATTCAAAAAAAAAATGGATCAAAGAACCTGTATCAAATTTTGTGTGAAAAACGAAATTAAGTGCGCGGATGCATTCCGAATGTTGACTGTGGCATTTGGAGAAGCTATCTTGGAACGAAGCAACGTTTATCGGTGGTACAAAATGTTCTCAGAAGACCGAGACGCCTGAGCACTTCAACAACAGACGAAAAAATTAATGAAGTGGAGAAAATGGTATTGGCCAATCGTCGAATCACCGTTACAGTTGCTGAGGACCTAAACATATCGATTAGCTCGTGTCATTCGATTTTTATTAATAATTTGGGCATGAGACGGATCGCCGCGAAATTCAGTACCAAAATTGCTCAATTGCCCCTGCTCACACATCGTTGCTTGTGCGCGACGTTTTGGCCAAAAACAACTCACTAATTATGCCGCAGCCACCGTATTCCCCAGATCTGGCCCCCTGTGACTTTTTCTTGTTCCCTAAACTGAACGCTACGATTGACGAGATAAAGACGGCATCGAAAAAGGAGCTGAACAGGATAAAAAAATGATTTTTTGAAGTGCTTCGAAGATTGGAAAAATCGTTGGCACAAGTGTTTAAAATCTCATGGGGATTCCTTTAATGGGGACAAAATAGATATTCATGAATAAATAAATAATTTTTGAAAAAACACAAAATTCGCGATATTTTTTGAGCACGCCTCGTATGTTGAACTTTGCCACTTATAAAATATTCAACTTCCAGGTTTCTTAATAATTTCCTCAAATACTACAATATTGAATACACGTATGAATCTGTTGAAATATTTATTTATTTCAAGCTGTTTCTCATACAACTTTTCTGCCGCTGCCCAGCTCTCAGTGCTTTCCGTTATTAATTTCCCGGACATTTTTTCTTTGATTACTTATTTAAAAGTGCATCTAGGCCTCATTAGTCTCTTGAGCTATGTAAAATACACCAATCGGTTTGTGCATCTGGAAAAGTGAGAAGAATCTTCTTCATTGAAGAAATTTGTTTTTTTTTCTCATTGAAATACTTAAGAAATTTTGACAAACAAAATGTGAAATTGAAAAAATTCCAATAAATATTTGAGTATTTGAGCAACAAACGAGTATCGAGCTTCTCGCGCTGTTCAATACCCAGGTCTTTGCATAAGAAGATCCATTTCAAAATCTGCATTCGATATATAATGAAAAAGAAAGCAATTATAGACTTGAGTAGATAGTTAGTTGATTGGTTAGACGCAAATAGGCCAGTCGGAAGGACAGGGTTCGAGTCCTAGTCCAACGAATATCAAAAATTATACAAAGTCTTACTTTACTTTTTCGCACATGAATGAATTGCGCTTTCGAGCGATGATTAATGATTACCGGAATTCGTTAGTATTGAATTGGGCAACATTTACTTGCAACAAGACACGCAAGCAACGAGATCATAGATCTTTTAAGAGGAAAGTTTCTTTAATTATCAAAATAACAACCCAATTGCAAAACCCTGTATATGTTAGTATGATAATATAACTAACAGTTATCTTTTAGATGCAAGGCTGAGAAGACACCAATTCAGTAGACAAGCCAGTTCTTTCGTCAAGCTTTTCTAAGTAAAAAAAATTACAGGGTGTAATTGGTGATTATAGACGAGGAGATTCTGCTCCCTTTTCGAAGTTCTTTAAGCCCATTTGTATGCAAATCACTTAATTTGGAGTTAGTTTGGTTAAAAATCAAAATGATTTGAATACGAAAGCCTGCGAAAATTATTTTTCTAAACGATTATGAAAATTCTTTATCTATTTTTTAAAGAAAATAGGCAATTTTCTACAAATTTTCTTCGATTCAAGGGAACACGCATGCCATGCAGCTGAAAGTGTGAATGGTGTTTATGGTACTGACACCGTAACAGTCAAGCATGCAAAATTCCAGTTTGACCGATTTCGTTCCAGTAGTTTTGATGTAGAAGATGTTCCACGGTGTGAAGGACCAATTGTCGAAAGTGTCGATAATATATTGGATATCTTCCGGTCTGATTGTCATGCTGAACTGTTTCGATTTACCAGGAGCTGGTCATTCCGCAAAAAAAAAAAAAAACAATTCGGATGCACTTAGATACATAACTAGGTTTGGGTGCCAAGGGGATCACTTACAGCAACTTTAAGCCAAAACAGTCCAGGTTGAAGGGCAGTGAGCTATCCCAGGTGGCTCCAGCCTAGTAAAGATTTGTTGTGTGTTTGGTGCGATTGGCAAAGGAATCATCCACTGTGAGCTGCACGCTGCTCTAACCTCGGACCTGTGTATTGTTAGCAATTGGACCGTCTGAAGGAAGCAATCGCCTAGAAGATTTGGCTAACAGATAGAGAATTGTGTTTTATCAGGACAACGCTAGACCACACATATATATCTCGCCAGAAGCTACCAGAACTTGGTTGAGAGGTTCTTATGGATCAATCCTATGGTCTGTATCTGCCACTAAACTACTACCAATGATTTAACCTCAAAAGAAGCTCAAAAGAAAATCGATTGTTCGGAATTTTTATCAATAAATACAAGGGTTACTACGAGAGACGCATTAAGACATTACCTTAAAAATAGCCTTCAATTTAATGCAAAAATAATGGTTAACTTTTAAGCAGATCTAATGTTTTACTCATTTTACCCAAACGACCTTACATCGATTTAGGGAAAAAGAAAAGTATTTTTCAACTTGGGTTTTATGATGTAAAACGGTATTCTTACGTATATGAAGAAAGCTCGAGTCCTAATTAGAGAAGTGATTTCTATTTGGCTGAATTTTTCACCCAACTAATTTTTCCCCGCACCGAGCAATTAAGTGTGTGAAAACTAATCTACAGATTCCGGCATAGTTAAGTCTTAATTTTCCTTGTTAATTACGCAGCATTATATTCCCCGTTTCTTCACTAAATGATGAAAATAAGCGTTAGTGAGATGCCAAGCCAACCGTAAACCCGAGTGGAGCGATTTTCTCAAAACCAAACGCCTGCCTGAACAGATGTTCATAGCATTGACTATAAAAATAACACAAACCAGCCGTAACAACAATAATAAGTGGAAATACAACAATAAATAGAAATAATAACAAACTAACCAACAATCGCATGTTGTAGAACAAAGCTTGAGTCAAACACAAGCCACTGGGGGCAACAGCAATACAGAACAGAACAGAACAGAAAAAAATTGCTCCAGGATAATGAATAGCTGGGAAGAGAAGCAGAATACATACATAACCGGAACTACTCACAATAAAATAAAAACACAAAACAAAAACATGAAAACGCTTGTTCGGGGGAAACTAGAAAAACTGAGCCAAATGCACTTGAATAAGCTAACACGCTGCTGAATGCTGAGCTGCTCTGCTGAAAACCAAGTGGCCCAACACACATTCACGTCTGTGTACTTTGTTATGTGATGATGGGAAAAGCAGAAGAGCAGGCAAAGTAATGTTTTTCCCTTACACGCTCCAACCATGGAAGCAAGCGAGCAGACAGTCCAGCCAAATGCCCCGGGCACTGCGTTGGGAATGTGAATGTGTAGTGCGAATGCGTTGGAGCGTAGAGTTGGTTAGAAAGGTGGAAGCGCACAAATGTGTTCAATTTGCTGGGGCAACAAAAAATTGAAGAATTAAATATACTATTACGATTGTTGTTGTATCAAAATATATATATATATATATATATATATGTTTGGAAGAGTACGACCTGAAAAATAGGTTTATATGAGGTTTGCGCTCCACGAACATGCATCTTTGATGTTGGCGTGCGCTCGTGTGTGTGGTTACACTATGGGGAGTGCTGGAAAAATATATGTACACACAATATGTACGTTTATGCTGTTTGGGATATAAGTAGGTTGGGAAACTTT